CAACGAATTTTGGTAAATTCTTGGGCTTTAAGGGATTTTCTACTTTCATACTGAACGCCGAGCTCCGAAAGCTCTAGGGACCATTTCATCATTCAACCGGCCATGTCTGGTCGACCTAGGAGTTGTCTCACGGGTTGGTCTATTCGCACAAAGATTGTGTGGGCCAAGAAGTAATATCGGAGTCTCCTTGTCGTGTTGATGAGGGTCAAGGCTACCTTTTCAATTTGTTGATCTGACCTCAGGGCCTTGAAATTATTTGCTAGTAAAGTACACTGGTTTTTGTCTGTCTGGTGTCTCGCGGACGAGGGCCACACTTACGGCCTCGGTGGAGACGGCCAGATAAAGGAACAAAGTTTCCTTGCTCTCTGGCCGTGATAAGACGAGTGGTTGTGAAAGGGCTCGTTTGAGGTGGAGGAGGGCTTGCTCGCACTCCTCGGTCCACTCGAACACCGCCTCTTTATGCAAGAGTTTGAAGAATGGGAGTGCGTGTTGTGCGGACTTCGCCACGAAGCGGGAGAGCGAGGTGAGCATGTCTTTCAAGACTTGTATGCATTTTTTCGAACTTGGCGTGGGGAGCTCGGAGAATTCTCGACATTTTTCAGGGTTGGCTTTAATTCCTCGTTCAGTCGGATAGAAACTGAGAAATTTGCTTGCCTTAACCCCGAAGGTGCATTTCTCCGGGTTGAACCTCATCTTGTTTCGCCTTGCTTGGGCGAAAACTCTTTTGAGGTGGGAAGCGTTGTCGGTTTCAGGTTGAGATTTTATGGTCATGTCATCCATGTACACCTCGAGCATGTCCCCGACTTCGCTGCAGAAGACTTTGTTCACCATCCGCTGGTACGTTGCGCCCGCGTTTTTTAGGCCGAAGGGAATTACATTGTAGAAGTAATTTCCCGACCCGATCATGAAGGTAGTGCAATGTTTGTCGCTCATCGCCATGGGGATTCGATTATAGCCCAAATACGCGTCCATAAATGATAAAATTTTGTAGTCGGTCGAGTTGTCGACCAGCATGTCAATATTAGGTAAACGAAATGCATATTTGGGACATGCCCGGTTGAGATCAATATAGTCAACACACATACGCCATTTTTCATTATTTTTCTTAACAAGTACAATGTTGGAGAGCCAGGTTGAATATCGAGCCTCAGAAATAAAATTTGCCTCTAGGAGGTCTTTTACAGCTTTTTAGCAGCCTCCGCTTTTTCTAGAGACTGTTACGCCTACGTTGTACTACTGCCTTAGCGGATGGATCCACGGCAAGTTGGTGACAGACGACCTCAGGGTCGAGTCCGGGCATCTCCGCAACGCTCCACACGAACAGGTCAGCATTCTCTCTAGTGGGCTTTGAGCTGCTTCCTCGCCAGGTCGAGGAGTCTAGCGCCAATCTTCACTCCTTTACTTGGGTCTTCGCCGAGGGGGATGAACTCGAAGTCTCTGTCTAGGATAGGTCAGAGAGGATTTTGTTCTTCATTGGGGGCCTCGACTTCATCTTTGGAGAAGTGGGTGTCGAGGTCAACGGAGTTGACCTTTGATGGAGCTTGCTATTCTTCAACTTGAGCAGGTTTGTCAACCGAGGTAGCCACTGTTGTCGAGGAGGTTGCTCTTTTGGCAGGTCGTATCCTAGTGTCGACCATGTTTTGTCCTTTGGAAGCCGCGTTGAAACATCTAGCAGCTGAGATGTCTCCATGGATTGTGGCGATGCGGACCCTCTTAGTGTAGAACTTTATCTTTAAATGTACTGTGGAGGGTATGGTGGTCAGCTCGGCCAGTGTTGGTCTCCCCGGGATGCAATTGTAGAGAGACGGACAGTCAATCATTAGAAAATGCACTTTGACCAGTCGAGATGCGGTTTCTTCCCCGAACGTGACGGATAACTCGACATATTCACATGATTTAGAGGTCGAATCATTGAATCCTTGCAGGATGGACCCCGCATATGGTGACAGGTTGGCATCGTCGAGCTGTAGGATGCAGAATAAGTGGGTGTACATGACGTCGATGTAACTTCCCTCATCAACCAAGATGCGATGTACATCAAAGTCGGCCATCTTCGCCCTCACCGGTAGAGGGATGTTGTAGTTGGGGTCTCCGTCGGGCAGCTCTTCGAGGTAGAAGGTGATTGGCTCAGATTTTCCCTTGAACCTTTCAAGGGTTACAACCTGGACTGGGGCTGCATCTATTAACTCATTGAATTTCCTCTTTGTTGAATTCACTGAGACGTCACTGAACCCTCTTCCAGATATGACCATGGTGGAGGGGAATTTCTCCCATTTGTTGTGGGTGAATAAAGGCTCGTCGTCCTCGAGACCGTCGAGGATGCGGAAGTCCTCGGGCCTTGAGACACAAAAGGCTACCTAGAGGAGACCACACTTATCGTATGGTCGGGCATACTCCTCAATTTCTTTAACCTCGCGGGTTTCCCGGCAAGGGGCGTCGTTCCTCTTGTACTGCCTGAGTCTCCCTGCCTTGATGAGAGTCTCGATGGCATCCTTCAGGTGGACACGGTCTTCGGTTAGGTGACCGTGGCTCTGGTGGTATTGATAATATTTTGTCCTGTCGGACCCTAGCTTAGCAGGGATTGGTCGAGAACGCCTGACCCCGTCATCCTTGAACTCAGCATTGGAGCACTCTGCAAGAATACGCTCACAGGAAGTGATCAACGGGGTGTATTCGATGAATCGCCTGGCTGGTCCTCTGTGCTCGCGAGAGTCGCGAGGTTTCTCCTCCCTTCTCTTATCCCTTGTTCGTCGAGAAGAGCCCGCGTCATTGTTCTGCGGGATGTTAGTTGGTTCGCGGTTCCTCGACTCACAGACGTTGTTGGTGGCCTCTTTTTCCTCGTAGTCCATGTATGCACGGGCTTTTTCAAGAAGTGCGTCAAAAGACATGGGAGGCTCGATGTCGATGGCCTTTCTGAATTCAGTGTCCGGGAGGAGTTCTCTCTCGAGCAAGTACCTCTTCATGTGATCGGCATAGGGGACCTTAATGGCCTCACGGTTGAACCGATCGATGTACCCTCTGAGGGTTTCATCGCTCCTCTGGACGATTGCCTCGAGGGCGGCCTCAATTTTCGAGTGTTGGCGAGATGCCGTGAAACTGCTGACGAATTGGTTCTTCAAACTCCTCCACGAGATGATCGACCTGGTGGAGGCTCTTATACCAGTCCAAGACTGTTTTCCTCAATATCGTGGGAAATAGTCTGTATTTGATAGGGCCCCCGACGTTGTGATAGTGGAGCATCGTCTCAAATTGGTCGATGTGATTGACAGGGTCTGCAATACATTCGTACTTCTTGAGATGAGAAGGCTTCCCCATCCCTTTAGGAATAAGGGCCTTCATGATAGGTTGGGAAAGTGGACCGCGGGGGTCGTCCTCGTCGCTTCTTTCTAGAGAGCGAGAGGAGGATCGATTGTAACAGCAGTCTTTATGTCGGTCTTAGGCACGGGGAGGATTCCTCGGCTGAGATTTCTTTTCTTTGTCGCCCATTCCTTTTATGTTCAGGGGATTGTCGTTCTTTGCGCGGTGGGGTGTGATTGCGCTTCTTGAAAGATTTGGGCTGGGTCCTCTCCAATGCAGGACCTCACCTAGTTCGACGGGGAGAAGGGCTTAGAGAGTCGTCTCGCATGTGTCTCCGCGGGGGAGATCGGGAGCGGTCCTCATGTCGTCGGGGAGGAGGAGTTCGAGAATCAGGTCTTCAGTGTTTTATGGGGAACGGCGGATTTGCTCCAATATCATCAAGCGTTCGCCCTACGAGAAGATCATGTAGTTCGTTTGGTTGATCGCCGCGAACAAGGCCTTGGTCGTGGGATCAACATTCTCAAGAACGGGGATCTCTTGATACACAGCAGACTCGTAATTCTGCTGATGTCGGTTGGCATCGTCGTGTGGTTCTGAGCGGGTGGAAGAGGACATCGTCATCTCGTCCCTGAAGTCGTGCTCGACAGCATTATTGTTGCCAGCGTTAGCGTTGTTGTTGTCGGCATTATTGTTGTTGCTAGCATCAACAAAGTGAACATTTTGGTCACCATTGTCAGCTTGGTTGGCCATGATGATCAAAAAGTTGAGAAATAGTTGCTTTGGTCTTAAGTAAATGAAAGACGGAGAAACTGGTTTCCCACAGACGGCGCCACTAATCATACCTGATCAGAAGAGCTCATCAAGGCCCACGAACTTCAAGTTGAATAGCAGTTGAATGTGAAGTGAGAGAGGGAAGTACCTGCAAGACACTCTAATGCTAAAGTGAGGTTCAGAGCGAGAGCGAGTAAAGTGAGTATGGATGAGTGAATGAATATCTAACCCTCTCAAGTGAGAGGATTTTTATAGCCTCAAGCATTGGACCAAGATCTCCAACGTTGAGCCACGATGAGGCTCAATAATGGAGTCTACCAGGATTTACGAATGTATAGAGTCCAACATGTGACCTCCTCCCTGATCAACTATCCCAAGAAAGTTGAGAAATTGAACCCGTTATTCTCGAAAGGCAGAATAATGATGTTATGGAAGCGTGAGTCATGTCCTAGTGAACACGTGAAAAACTACCCTCAATTTGGGCCGCATGTTTTTAAGCCTCGTAAAGATACTAGATTGGGTCTCTCCAACGATAGGGACCCTGTCCAAAAATGTACCCACTCCAAAATAATACGTCTTAAATGTAATTCATTAACATGAGCCTAGGCACATATTATAAAGAACGGAAGCAAGAAGGATTAGGTCTTTTAAGTATCTTATGTCATTAATTACTGTCAAAATCTTCAACTATCATCTAAAAAAGGTCAAGGGTTTTTTTGTCTAATAAGAACGGGATAAAAATCAGCATTGCGCTTTTTTCCCTCCTTTTTCATAGCCTAGCATAAGATATGATTTTGCAGCAAAGGATGAGGGATGCACCAATGCATGCGAGTTTAAACATGTTTTGAGAGCATAAAATTTATTAGTTTACAACATCATACAATGTGATAACTCTACCCAGAGTTCACTATGTACAAAAGATAACCACTGCATCAGGACATTGAGTACTCGATGTCCACCAAGCGAGATAGGATCTCCTCACAACTTGGTCGCTCATGCGGTTCAGCCCAGCACTCTGCACATGAAAATGAGGCAACCAGTTAAACTAGGTGGGATCTGAATTATAATACTACTATATACTTAAGTTACGAATAAGTTGCAGGGACCTGAAATCAGCCTGCCTAGTGGGCCTTCAGGAATCTCCAATCTGGAACCCTCATTAGCAACAGTATAAACCACCTGATCAGAAAATCAAAAGTGGTTAGCATAAATTATCATTTTGTTTCCAATATAAAACCATAACAAAAATATAAATAGTAGCAAATCTATCTAACATACCCTCTCAGGAGGGACGCCTTCCCAAGGCCTACTCAAGTTGCAGAGCTCCCACATTATCACCCCTAGACTAAAGATATCACATTTTTCAGTGAACGGTTCGTTTCGAATCAGTTCAGGAGCCATCCATTCAGGTGTTCCAGCTGAAGAAGAATCTTTCATGGGAGAATCTGTAATTATTCTCGAAAGTCCAAAATCACAGATTTTCACTGTCCAATGCTTATCCACGAGGCAATTCGCACTTTTCACATCACGGTGTATAATCTTCATTCGATGAATATGCATCAAGCCCCTACTCATTACCGAGGAGTTATTTTTGTAAATGTCGACAAATGAAGTACAATCTTATCAATATCAATTATCAAAATTACACAATTCACCAGATTTACAAGTCTTGCAGACCAAACAGTTTGACAAACAGAGATACAATATGACAAATGAGTTATAATCTGGCCCTGGATGATAATTGTCTATGATGAATTATCATCAGTGATGATAAAAAAATTAAACTCAAAATATCTGACGAGTTGTAAATTACATTTCTCTTTGATTTGGGAAAAACCTAAAATTATTATCGTCTTATTTGCTATGGTAGGACCTGTTTCGTATACCATTAGGCTGGATGAACAGAATTTACCACTATATGCATAATTGATATTTTCAGAACCAACAATATCTGACATGAATGTTAATGGACAGCGAAGTTTAAATGACTTGTACCGGAAAACAATGGAGAACTAAGAGAATATTCTGGAGTATGTGAATAACCAGAATACTTACCTGCATATGTCACGAAGCATCTTTAGTCTTCTTCGCCAACTAAGCTTCTTTTTTTGACCACTCACATGAATCAAGTAGAACAAAGATCCCATTTCCATATATTCGGTCACCATTGACAACCGTGGAGGCTTTGTGCATGCACCAAGAAATAAGATGACTGCATGAAGCCATTCAAAAAAAAAAAATGACTGCATGAAATTTTATTCACTTATATATGGTCTCAAAGGAAATATGCTACATGAGACATTCTAATTTTTACATGACATGAGATACTCTTAGGAGGACTGTATATGTACAACAGTATCATATAATTTTAAGAATTCCATAAAATGATGATACAGGAATTTAGGCTGGCTGTCTTGCACATATGTTTCAAACTAGAAAAAACAATGTGCAATAACAATTGGTGTTGGTGAAAAGCCATACAACTATATAAATAAACAAGAGGTTAGACAGTACCATTAGGATGTCTGAGTCGGCTGGAGGAGAATAAAAGACAAAAAGAAGAGACAGGAGTCAGTAAATGTTGGATGTAGCATAAAAATTAATGACAGACACAAATGATCACAAAATACCTGAGAATGGATATCTCATTGCAGAAATCTTCCATGTTTTCAGCAGTTAAATCTTGCTCAAGGAAAACTTTGATTGCAACATCTGTGCCATTCCATATGCCACGGAAAACTTCTCCAAAGAACCCTGGATAAGTATAGAGAGCAATGAAGTTCCATAAATCATATGAACATTTTGGTTCTGCGGCAAAAATAACTTATTACAGTTGCTAACACGGCTTAAATAAAAAAGTTCAGTAGCTAACTTTCCAATTTTAGTTCTTAAATAATTACTGATACTTTAATTCTTATTTCTTTATAAATTTCAAAAACCCAACTTTTTTCTACAGGTTCAATTAGATTTTGTGTTCCTCAATTATTAACTCTTAGTTGGAGTTCTTTACTAATTTAGTAATTGCTTAATTTCTTTCCACCTTCTCACCCATGCATTAATTCCTTGGCTAAAACTACAGTGCATCCTTTCCTTTTCCCTGATTCTTCCTTTAAAGGAGATCCACACTCATAGACAATGCTAAGCCTTGAAAATGTTGAAACCAGAATAGAGGCAGAACAGAAAATGAATCATGCAATTTTATTTTTAATTTTTTTCATGTGAGAGAAGAAGAATTTAGTACTGAAGGTTTTTTCTTGGATTTTCAAAATCATACAATGGAAACCCTGGGAAAAAAATTCAGATCTGACTGGATCTATCAGGGCCTCTCACAATCAAGCACAAATAAGTAGAAATTCAACCTCAGAAATAGTTGGAGTCATGTGAATTAGCCAGAAACAGTGATTCAAAATCATTTTAGCATATCAATCATGCTTAGACCATATGAATGATACTGAGCTGCACTGCAAAAATCATATGATTTAATAACTTTGAGAGGGAAAATCTAAAAAACGTACCGATCCCAACACGAGTTCCAACAGTCAATTCTGAGAAATCAATGTTCCACTCTTCATATGGTAACAGAGGTTTATTGTTCGACATTGATGATTCAAGGATTTTATTCCAAGTTGACTCCAGTTCATCATTCAATTCATATCCCGGTGGCCTGCTTGTCTCGGAAGTTTGATCTCGATAATCATGTGGTGAAGAGGGTAATGACATTGCCTTCTGAGAAGTTACATTGTCACGACGCAGTTGATATAAGGGGGACGTTTCATGATGACCAGCAAGACAAAAATTTGACAGCTGTGATAATGCAGTACAGGAGTCACGTGTGTCAAGCTTCATGTTTTAAAACAGAAACCAATCCGAATATTTTTATACACTAAGTAAAACATGTCAATGCTATAACCACCAACATTGAAACAAGCAAGGCAGTTTTCGATTATTCATAGTAGTCTACATGGATTAAACAACACCATAATGTCTTAGTATGAAATGTTCTAGTGTCAGGTGACTAATTCCAAATCCTTAATGAGTTTGACCTATATTTTCCTTGGTCTCCTTCTTTCTAACTATTGGACTCTCCTGTATCTAACTCTAATCAACCTTACTTAACAGTATTTCTATACAACTTCTCCATACATGCCCAAACAATCTAAGACAAGATTCATTAATAATGAAAAACACACACATAAGTCCATAATCATTATTTATGATTCTATTCCCAATTATTATAATTATATTGTGGTAATCAACAAATTAAATACTTTTTATGCTTTCTTTTTAATAAGAAAAAGATCAGAGTCGTTATGAATTTCAATTGCATATTGCTATCTTCTAGATTGTGTGATGCAACCACGGCTGTGATGCATAAGAGATGCCTAAAGATGCCATAGCTAGATAAAGGCCATTTAAATGATAGCATACTTAATTGTTACCAGAACAATGCATACTAACACATACATTTTTCTGAAGCTCTGCGCTGCTAACTCTATCATTGGGAGAATGCGGCAAGGAACTATCATCCCCTTGTTCCCTTAGATGACGGTTTTGCTTTAGTTTTTCATTCATTGCTCGCACAGCCCTACAGAGATTAGATCCTGAGTTATCACAGTTATAAAACAACTTATAATACATTATATTACATTACAACTTATAAAACAACTTAGATCCCCTTGTTCCCTTACAATACACTACACACTGAATTAAAATAACAGATGGTCATGCACCGTGAAAATAGGAAGTGGGGGATCATCACTTCGCTTGACCAAGGTACTAGCATAATTAACACATTCCTTGTATTGGTAATTGGTAATTTAGCACAAAGCAGGAACCATTTATGATAACCAAGCCTCTGACAATATAACACAAGCAAGGGTTAATTGTTCCAACAATCCTCACCTGAAACTTTTATAAATTGGAATAAAAGAAGTATTTAAGGAAAGAAAAAGAGCACATGGGACATGAATAAGGAATCTTCCTAAAACAAATGGAAATAAAAAAGCAGTTAATTAGTTCCCTTTCATATCAGATTACAGAAACCCTTTGAAAATTACATAGCAGCCAATTTAACACTAAACAGCACCAAGGACAGCAAACTTAGTGCACAGAAATGCAGAAGCATAATTGAGCAACAGCCAACCTTGCAATATCATCACCAATCTCTGGTGTAATACTGATGCTTCTTCGTCGTATCCTACGAGCTTCTGATGAGGATGCACCATCTGACTTATAGCTGGATCTGAAGAAAAATAGAGTGGCCTATTTGAAAATATGAAGAAAATACTCACCTCATACATATATGTATATAAAACAAGATAATAATGTCCATCAGGAAAATATGTCGACACCACCACATTAATAAGGACAAAAGGAAATAATCTCTAAGTTTCTAGTCCACTGCAACACCTTGAGTGATAATAATTTAGCATTGTAGGCTTTGCTAGTTTTAGGTCGAAATTTATAATTAAAAAAAAAATTGAAAGAAAAATGAGGTTTATACAACCAAATATGAACTAGTTACTAGAGATTTATACAACCAAACTTGATAGACAAAAAAAATGAGGTGATAACAAACAACTGGTTTTCCTTCTGCAATAAGAAGTTAAGAACCCAGAAAAGAAAAATAACAAGTGAAAACTAAAAGCTAATGGCCAATCACAAGGTACGAGCAAATATTAAGGAATCATAAAGGCATAAACCTTGATGTAGCCTGGTCATCAGCAAAATCTCTAAATGCAGTCTTGTCACGGCCAAGCTTAGACTGCCCACGAGCTTGAAATAATGGATGTTCGGGACTGCAAATTCAGAAAGAAAGAATAAATGAAGCATAATAGGAGACTGAGCATAAAGTATTAATATTCTAAGGTATTTTAGTAAGTTGGATTCATAGATCACTTTGATACTGATGCCACTGATTCACAAATTAGAAACACAAAATAGGCAAGTCTATTGGTGAGAGGTTGCAACTCTAAATTCCTTTTGAAAACTAAAGATAACCCCTCTCTATCATCTCATACTCTCTAACTAACTTGCTAACTAAGGGCTAACTAAGGGAGGCTGCCAATCACCTATAATCAATATGTGATGAGGGCGTGCATCACTTATTGAGCTACAGAGAAAGCAACTTTCACCAATGGGAACGGTTGATATTTGTAAATATATAGTGTTAAGAATATTTGTATATAGAATAGTTCCACATCGACTATATCATGTAACTAGTTGTAATCTCTCTCTCTATATATATATATTAAAGTCTCCTTAGTGTTTTTCAAAACACACGGTTTATTCAAATGTTTCTTAGTCTCTCGTATTTTAACATGGTATCCAGAGCTTATTGAGAGACAACCCTTCACCGTGCATTATCCGGTTGACCCACTGTCTTCCGGTGAGAAATTTTTGACAAGCCGTGCATAACTCCGGTTTGCCTTCCATACATTGACGTGACTTATTCCGGCGTCAGTTTTCGAATTTCTCCGATCATCACTGGTCTGCCGCCACCGCTATTGTTTTCGGCGACCTTCCGACAAACTAACCCTACTGGCAGAAGCGCCTCCTTCTATCCGGCAGATCCCGACAATTTTTCCACCACCCCACTCGCCACCTTGGAAAACTGTGATCCAGTTCAAACTGATCTTTTTTCACCCGATTTGTGTGATATTTTCTCTTTTCAAATACTCGTGGCTACTCCTCAGAACTTTACGCCAAACTACGATGATTTCCTCAGGTGGTATCAGAATTATCATAACTCAGATTCTCCTGCTTCGGTTGCACACATTGGTAATTCATTTGTTTGTCTCTCTAACTCATCTTCTCTTGGACCTTGTGTCATTGATTCTAGTGCGTCTGATCATGTTACTGGTATTAAAAAAAATTTCTCTTCCCTCTTTACCTCAGGTTTCTTACCTACTATAACTTTTGTTAATGGTTCTCAAACCCGATCTAAAGGGATTGATATTGTTCAAATTCTACCTTCTATCTTTGTTTTTGTTTTCTATGTACCTAATTGTCCATTTAATTTATTTTCAGTCAGTCGTTTAATTCATTCTCTTGATTGTATTGTCACCTTCACTAACAGTAATGTTACCTTGCAGGATCGGAGTTCGAGACAGCGTCGGATGTGAGTCTCAAGGCCTTTATTACCTCTCAGTGTCATCTCAGACATGCTCAACCAAAGATTCTCCACTCACTATCCATGCTCAATTAGGTCATCTCAGTCTTCCCAAATTATAGAAGTTGGTGCCAAGTTTATTGAATGTTTCTAATTTACATTGTGAGTCATGTCAGTTAGGGAAACACTCGTAGTCAATTTTTCAATCGAGTCAATAAACGAAATTCGTCCCCTTTTGCTTTAGTTCACTCCGATGTTTAGGGTCCCTCGCGTATTGTCTCTACTCTTGAGTCTAGGTGTTGGAACATTCCAATTATTGGAATTACAAATTATTGGAATTATAATTTTGTATTTATACGCATGTTCATGTATCTAGGAGTCTAGGAATCTATTGCTTTTAAATTACATACATGTACCTAGGAAATAGTTTCTATCTTATCTTGTAATTACTCTCTTGAGTGTATATAATCAAATCACTTGAGTGCTTTGTAACTCAAGCATTTCACCAAATATTCAATTTTCAACAAGGTATCAAGAGCTCTCGATCTTGAGAGTTGCTTCCGCATAAACCCTAGCCGTCTTCATACGGTAAACCCTAAGTCACCTTCATTGTGACAATTTTTGTTGCCTTCATTGCAGCCTTGTTACCCTTCATTGCAGTTTTTTTCCCGTCCAAAAACACCTTTATTTCATCCTTTTTTGCTGTTGTTTGGCTCGTCTTATTGCTGTTTTTTTTAGCTTGCTACAAATGACTGAAAAAAATTATGTTGATTACACTTTATCATTCACCAAGGTTGAGGTGAATCGTTTAAAGGCTATATTTGACTCTCTCAGTATGCCTTCTGGAAGTTGTTCTCTACCGACGACCGACTTATTGTATGCTCTCAATCCTTTAGTGTTTGCGGTAAAATCTCTAAGAATGCTTGGATTTTGGACTCTGGTGCCACCGACCATATGACATTCAATCCTAGTTTGATTTCCTCTTACACCCCCTCTAAGAATGCTTCGAAGGTGTTGGCTTCCTACTTGCAGACTGAGTCTTCCGTGTCTTCTTCTCATTCTGCCGCACAAATTTTGCTTCAGCACAAGCGTCTTGGTCATCCACCATTCTCTTTAGTTAAGTCTATGTTTCCTTCTTTGTTTTTACATCATTCAATTGAATCTTTTAAATGTGACGTTTATGAGTTAGCAAAACATCATCGTGTCTCTTTTACTCCTAGTTCCAATAAAAGCGCTGAACCTTTTGATCTCATACATTCTGATGTTTGGGGACATGCACCTATTTCTAATATTTTGGGTGCTAAGTTGTGTCATTTATTGATGATTATAGTCGAGCAACTTGGATTTTCTTGATGAAGGATAAGTCAAGTAACGAAAATATTTATTAGTTTTTATAACATGGTACAAACACAATTTGGCAAGGGGATTAAAAGAATCCGCTCTGACAATGGCAAAGAGTATGCCAATCACACCCTTTCAAATTTTACCAGTCAACGGGGAATACTTCAAGAATTTACATGTGTCGACACCCCACGACAAAATGGTGCTGCGGAAAGAAAGAATCGTCATTTACTTGAAGTTACTCGAGCCATCCTCTTCCAAATGGCAGTTCCCAACTCATATTGAGGAGAAGTCGTTCTGAATGATGTCTACTTGATTAATCGGGTTCCATCTCGCATGTTAGGTAATGTCAGTCCTGTTCAATTTATGACTTCACGGTTTCCTTCTGTTCCTATTTTGAAAAGTCTCGAGTCTCGAGTATTTGGTTGTGTTGCCTTTGTCCATATCCATAAACAGCACCGAAGTAAGTTTAACCCCCGCGCAGTCAGATGCATCTTTGTTGGCTATCCCTCATACAAGAGAGGATATAAATGCTATCATCCTCCTAGTCGTAAGTACTTTGTCTCTAAAGATGTCACGTTTCATGAGAATTTGACCTACTTCACTCGTCCTCAGCTTCAAGGGGAGAGCATTCAGAATGTAGAATCTGATTCCGAGTTTTTGGTCCTACCTGAGTTGCACGTGACTCCTCTCTTAAGTCCTATTACCGGTCCTACAATTGAGTCTCCCGAGTCGACTGTTAATCCTATGTCAAGTCCTATTACTGATCCTACTTCTATTTTGGTCCCTCCTTTGTCGTCTGTTTTACAGGAACCATCATCTTCCACACCAACAAAAACTAAGGCTGGTGAGCCAACCTTGGTGTATCACAGAAGAAGTAAGCCCGACCTGCTCCAAACACAACTTCAATTGCCAAAACCGGAGGTAAGTGTTGAAACTCACAGTCCTATTAGTGATTCCCATAGCTCTGACACTTGTGACACTAATACAGATGATTTGCCCATTGCTTTGAGGAAAGGGAAAAGGTCATGTGCCAAATACCCTATATCTCAATTTGTCTCCACTAAAAATCTTTCCTTGCAGCATCAGAGTTTTATTTCTGCAGTTGACTCTGTGCTCATTCTATCATTCGTTCAAAAGGCATAGAAGGATAGAAATTGGGTCCAAGCGATGGATGAGGAAATGAAAGCTCTTGAAAGAAATAGAACTTGGAAGATTGTTGATAGACGGGAAGGCAAGAAACTCGTTGGTTGCAGGTGGATTTATAAAGTCAAACACAAATCAAATGGTACTCTTGATCGTTACAAAGCTAGACTAGTGGCAAAAGGATACACACAGACATATCGCATAGATTATGAGGAAACATTTGCTTCTGTTGCGAAAATAAACACTGTTCGGATCTTATTATCTCTTGCTGCTCACTCCGAATGAGAATTACAACAATTTGATGTCAAAAATGCATTCTTGCACGGAAACTTAGAAGAAGAGGTGCACATGGAGATCCCGTCGGGATTTGTCCCAACATGTGGATCTAACAAGGTGTGTTGATTGAGGAAAGCCCTATATGGGCTAAAACAATCTCCTAGAGCATGGTTTGGAAGATTTATAAAAGCAATGGTGTACTTAGGCTACAAGCAGAGCCAAGGAGATCACGCGCTTTTCTTTAAGCACTTGCATGAAGGAAAACTTACTATCCTTCTTGTTTATGTTGATGATATTATTATTGCAGGAGATGATCTAGCATAGAAACAATTGCTAAAGGAAAAACTATCGGCAGAATTCGAGATGAAGGATCTTGGGAAACTCAATTATTTTTTGGGAATTGAGGTTGCTTACTCAAATCAAGGCATTTTCATATCTCAAAGGAAGTATATACTTGATCTCTTGCAGGAAACTGGAAAACTGGGATGCAAACCTTCTAGTGTTCCCATAGAGCAAAACCATAAGTTGAGTCTCGAAGAAGAAAGTGTCAAAGCTGACAGAGTCCAATATCAGAGGTTGGTAAGAAAGTTGATTTACCTGGCACACACTAGGTCTGACTTGGCTTATGCTGTCAGTGTAGTGAGCTAATTTATGCATGACCCGAGAATGTGGCACTTACAAGTTGTTGATCGCATCTTGCAATACCTCAAGGCTACTCCGGGAAAAGGATTATTGTTCAAAAGAGTTGGAAACTTAACTATAGAAGCCTACACTGATGCTGATTATGCATGATCAATAAGTGATAGAAGATCTACTTCGGGATTTTGCACCCTTTTGTGTGGGAACCTTATCACATGGAAAAGTAAGTGTTGAATAATGAGAGAACAAGAGGAAGCTTGGATTGAATCCGTGTGTTTGAATTAC